CCCCAAAACCCCAAAACCCCAAAACCCCTAATGTAATGTGAAAATCGAAACAAATTTGCAAAAATTAAATATAATTGTTTCATAATAATCATCAATCTGCTAGTTAATCTCTATCCATTTTGATGGGACTTCCCTCTGATATCATACTTTTAAGTTTAATCCTGTTAATAGTCTTTCTCTTTTCAATATCTTTGGAAAGCGATAAGAAATCCTCCTTAATGTAATTAAGCTCCTTAATCAAATACCATTTGTCTTCAATTACATCTTTAATCTCCTTGTATTTAAATGTCAAAAAGCCATCAGTTTTTTTCTCGTCAAGTTACTTCTAGAATTCTTCTAGTTTATCTAAAGCCTGGCCTATATTATTATTGGAGGCCTTAAGCTGCTTGTCTAATTTGATCATCTTTAACTCATCAATAATGTGATAAAACTGCTTTTATTTCAACAGCCTATGAAAATCTAATTGCATCAATAGCTATATCACATCATACTCTTTTATCCCCTTTTGCTAAGTATCCAGAGCTTTAAATTTCTAAATTTATTTATTATAAAAAGAAGTATTACCTCGAGGACTATCTTTTTCTTAACTTCCAAATTTTTCAATACTAGCATGATAATCAGACTCACATAATCAAGCAAGCAGATTCTAAAATACTATGATTCATGTTAACTTACAAATATGATCTTTCGTTGATTAGATATCTTCTGAGGATTGTGAAAAAGCTCTCGAGCGTAAATGGAAGATTTTCTAAATAAGAATTAGCAATCTGTAATAACATACCTTATCGCATAATATACTAGAACGATAAGAACTATTACTCAGTTTTGACTAAGTTTGCTGGCTTTTCTATTCTCATTTCTTATCTCTTGAATTCATCATGCTGTATATAGTAAGTTTTGTAATCTGTAAGTGCTTCTTTGACATTAGGAAAGAATATCTTCTGATAGTTCATTAGTCTAATAAACTTTTCAATTGTGATGGTCTGAATAAGTATATCCTTCTTTTAATCAATCTGCTCTCTGATGCTTTAATCAGTAATGTGATTCTGAACTTCGAGTTCCATTATTTTGTCCTCGTTCAAGTCAAATTTTGATTTGAGCACATTTGGAGAAGGGGAACCGCTTCCAGAGACAATCTCTGACAAATTATTGATTGGGTTTCTCGAAAGTACATCTGAGTGATCAAATCTTGTTTTAACTGGACTAGTAGTGGCATTGGTTACAGTCTTGATCAAGGCTGCTTTTTTAATGGATGCTAGTTTTCTTTAATGTGAGAAGCCGCTTTAAGAATAAGCTGAGAAAGAGGGCTAGTCTGATTTGAACTCTTCACCATTATATGTATCATATAGTGAAAATTGATTGTTAGTCGTTCTCTCAAGCTTTTCTCTTTCAAATTGTTGCTGAACTTTGTTGAAGACCACGTCACTTGTAAAATCATCGCCAATCAGATCTTAGATAGATACCTAGGTCTGAGTTGTGACTAGACCATATATTGTGTCAATCAAGAAATTATAATGCATCATCTTTGACTTATTCTTCATTATAATTTGGATTGCTATCAAAGAGTAAAATTTCTGTAAGGATGAGGCTTCTTTATAGTCATCTCCTTATGCATAATGATACATTAGACCATCAAGGAAGTCTTGATGTAAGGTAAGTGACGATCTGCCTAGCATTCTTTCAAATAATAAGAAAGCCACTCTGAGACATAATTTCTTATTTCTCAGATCCAATCTGTGAAGAGCCAAAGAAGCATCATCAAAATTATCTCTAAACACAATTTGTATATTTTTCTCTTTTTTTAGCAATTTTTCAAACATTAGGAAAGATGTAAACAATAATTGGCCTACTTTTTGATTGACTACTTCATTTAAGTTTATTATCTAGCCATCTAATTTACCGTAGAGGCCTTTTGATGACTTTTGATTCTAAACTTAAATTTTACTAATTACGCTTGCTTCCTAGTTACTTTCATCAACTGATTGCATTGTAGATTCTTCTTCATAATTTAGAAGAGTCAATATCATCTTAGAACTCATACTATTTTTACTGTTGACTGCATTTTCTAGACTTAAAAGGAAGTGATTAATGTCAATATTAACCAAGTCAATTTTTAAATTCTAGTTCTTGGCCATGAAAAATTCACTCATCAAATTGAGCAAATCATCTTTGAATCCAAATAATAGAATATCATTCATGATTGGATTTGCTTTCTTATCAATTGAGTACAACATCTGAAGCTACTCTGACTATTTAGTTTTCTTGACTCCCTTCTTTGCTGATTTTTAGATTTCATCTTGTATTGGTAACTTAGTCAAAGGTACTTAAACCAAATCATTTTTCTTTAGCTTTATCCTGCTTATAAATTGAACTAATTCCTCTGAGATTGATTGAAGTTCATACATTTCATATAATCTTCTTTTTTGAATCTCACTAGCAATCAAGGGTCTGTAAATGTCTATGAATTTCCAGTAGTTATGGGACTAATTCTTATTCTTTATAACAACTATACCACCTGATGAGGAGTTTTAGCCAGACTGATTATTCACTCTTGAACTGCCTGCTATAATAGTCTGCGTGGACACATTATTACTTTTCTGAAGTGAATACTTGATTATTTCAAATTTCTTAAGAATGATGTCCATCATCTCCTAAAGTGAATCATTGTTTGTTTTATTTTCACCTTATATCTCCTGCATAATTTGCCTTACTTCTTTCTCTATGTTATCTCTTAGTTTAGCTTGATGCTTGGAATGACTGTTGAAATTCTAATTTAAGTCTTAGATGTCTCTCTCAATGTCTTTAATAACAACTTATCTGTCCTTTTTATATTCTACTAAAAGTTCATTTGCCTCTGATAGCTATTGCTTGACATCTAATAGTTCGAGCTGTAGCAGTTCATTTTCACTCTTGGTATACTTATAATCAGACTATTCAGCCATCAACCTATAATGAGAATTACTATGACATTGAATCATTTACTTGTGATTTTGAAGCTAAAATTTCTGGAAAGAGTCGTTGAACATCTCATACATCATTGAAAACATAAAGCCAAGAAATTTCAATGACTTTTCACACTCCAGTGCATGAACTGGGAGGATCTTAGATATATTCAGTAGCTATCTTTATTATGTTCTAAATATATAAAAATAAGTGCATGAACTTACTTTAGAAACTAAGCAACTATTCTTTAAACCACTTTATGATTATTGAACTGCAAAGTTCTCTCTAAATACCCTGAGATTGTGTCTTTGATGATCTTATTCATTTCTTCTACACTCTCTTGAGAACTTTGATCTACTCTATGAATCTAGTAAATGAAGTCTTTATACAAAATTTTCTGGTATTTGCATACAACGCACATTTCTAGATCAAATAAGGATTTCATAATGTCGTTTTCAAATATCTTTTGACTTTGGATGGTTGGGTCTACAGCTTCATTTCTTTTAGTCTCTATATTATTTCTGCTAGACCTCGATTTTTGCCTATCTACATGCTATTCATTAGCTTTCCAAAGTCTATCAGTGTTAATCATATCTTAGTTTTCATTGTATGCTGCATTAGTCTAATTCAAGGAATCGGGATTTGAGTCTCTTATTTTTTGCAGAGTTGGATCTTCGGTATAAATGACTGAATTGTTTATGAATGACTTTTGAAACTGCTCGACTATCTTAAGTTCCTTGTTCTATCTTTCAATTTCACTCATAAAAACATTGTTTAGGTTCTCGGCTGGAACTTGATTTAAATACTCGTTCATTGGCTGAACAAGAAAGCTCTGAGATTGTTCTAGTGATAGGCTATTTAGATTGATAGTTATAGGGGCATATCCTTAGACTTGAATTCTTAGGTCTTTGCCGTTACTGGTTGAAATGACATTTACCTCAAGGTTTTATCTGATACTTTTCATACTGACACTGCTCTTTTACTTTTGATGCAGGCCTCCACCTTGATTTAAGTGTTGAGGCATTTCAAAAACAGTCTTTTCTGGATTTTATAGTGTCTATTTCTAGCCATTTTTGTGGTTAGATGCAGGTCTGGTCATAGATCTGATAAACTGAACTCTTTTACCACCATCTGCAAGTTTCTAAAATAACTTATTTTGATTGCACTGGCATTAGGATGTCCTTTTAGTGATAAAAGTCTTCTGCTGGTCTAGGACTATTCTGTTGTAGTTGACATGGCCCAAGCACGAATGCAGAGCATTCACTTCTTTTCTTATTTTCTTTAGTTTGTAAAACTTTGATTCTATCATATTATGTATCTCTTAGTCTTTTATCAAAGTTTTGTTTATTATCTTATCATAACTCAAAATCAGTGAGCCACTCTTGAATTTATTTAACTAATCTTTAGTTTCCTCTGCATCTGAAGAATCAAGTAAATCAGATTCACTTTGCTGTTATTAATTTATATCTTGAACTTGCTGATTAAGTTTCTCTTTTCGATATTCTTCAAAGTAATCCTCAAACTCTCTATATATCTTTTCAATCTTTTATAATTTTAGTTCAAAGTCGTGTATATTAGCCTTCTTTTTATTAAGTTTATCTTAGATCTAATTGGCTTATATATTGGTCTATTGATCACTGAGGAAATTCATTACTTTTTCTTGTAGATTTATTGACATGTTAGATTAAGTTTGATTTAAATTTATTCTGCTACTGTTAAGTCTGCTAGAGACCACTCTCATTTTATAATTTGGATTCTTACTCTATTCAATCAACGCCCCTGATCTCCTTTCAGTTTGACTTCCATTTAAAGTGTTGTTAATTGGGTCTAGGCTAACACTAGCCATTGAGTTGCCCTTTTTATTGATAATAGTTCTAAGATCCTCCTTCTCCAAATCTTGTTCATTGATTTGCTAGTTCTTAATTTCATATAGAAGCATTGTGTTTTGCAGATCTTTAGTCAAGGAGTCTTTGCCTGATTTAATTTCTTTAAGATAATCTTGATATTGTTTAATCTGCTCTGTCGTATTTAGAGTAATATTAGCTGTGCTCTTGTGTCTCTTGTGAAATGTAGAGGATGCACTCTGAGAATACATTGTAGAATTAAGAGTTGAGATTGGCTACTTATCCTGTTGCCTAAATTACATCTTATTTTTCTTTGCAAATTAACCGAAATTTGTAATCTAGCCTCTATGGGTTACGGGTCTAACAGATTTAAGGGCATCAAGCATAGGCTTTATTTGTTTATCAGTTACCTACATCTACTCCTTTTTCTTATTGAACAGCGCCTCTTGAAGACTTATGTTTTGAAAATTCATATTTTCAAGCCTATAATAATTATTATAAATTTGATCTAATCAAATCCTTTAAAACCATTCCATGCTAGGGGTTTTGGGGTTTTGGGGTTTTGGGG